GAAGATGGTGAATAAAGCTGTGATATCGAAGAATGTGAAACCTCATATGGTGTTTGTTGGTTCAGTCGTTAGTGTAGAAGATCACGGATACATACTAGATGCTGGTGTATCCAGGATGAATTGTTTCTTACCCAGAGACCAAGTTGATGGTTCGTGAAATTTTGATTCTTTTTAAATTTTCAGCGAACCTTGATATTGGTAGCTTGATTCCTTTTACTCCACTCGTGCCGGATCCACAAGTAAATAACACTTGTGAACGAGTTCTGAAAGTAACTACTCGTATGGATTCAAATTTATCGGTGGTTGGTATTAATTTATTAAGTTTCATTTTGTCTAGTTGAATCCTGATTCTTGTATAAATTTTGACTGTATACTACCTGGTACTTGTCTTCATGCCTCAATTGTAAAGAAGGTCACGTCGACTATAGTCGCAGAGTTCTCAGAACACTTTATTTCAATCTCGCGCACATACTACATCGGAAACAAAGAAGACTATCAAATAGGAGCCAATGTAATTTCATTCACTCATTTTTACGGATTTTACTATTTTATTTCTTATTTAAAATCGCTAATTGGTCCATTCCGAAATAGAAGTAGATGTTAACTGGCCATTTGCATTAAATCTAACAACCTTGATCACAAGTTAATCTTTAAGTTGCCGACGTGTATTAGTGACTTCGGATGAAGCCCATGATCCCATAGAGGTGTCTTTTATTTCTAAAAGTCCTTAGTCTTTCGGGTAAGGAAGATCTCTTTTTTAAATCATTTCGATGTGAAAGAGAAGCTAGACAAAAATTGAGATCTTTCTGGTTCTATTACGTTTCCAACAAAAGCATTTGGATCCGTGTCACCTGTTATTCTGCATTGGCAAATTTTCGACAGATTTCCTTTACTGATTGTGCTCTCCATCTAGGGCTCGCTCCCTTTATAAATTTTGTTTTGATATTGCGAATTAGTGTTTGTAGTCTAAATTAGTGACTTACTATACGCTATGGTAACTGAAATTTCCTTCGAACTCCAATGGTATTCAAAGTAAGTAGACTTATCCTTAGGTTCAGAACCTACGAAAACAGAATTTCTTGTCATAACCATCAAAGCTGAAATCTTAGGGTAATATTAATTCAGCGTTTATTGTAAGCCTCGTTGGGTTCAGCAAGACCATAGTAACCGATGGTTAGAGACCTTAAACGTCATGGCTCAAAATCGTTTGCACAGCGCATGTGCATCCATTCTTTGGCTTCTCTCAAATCCTAATCCTCTGGATTCTTCATCACCTTTATTCTGCTTTTAAATTTATTTCACTGGATTCTACTTCGTGAACAATTTGTTGGAACCGTAATCTCCTCCATAACCTCTAGTACTTATGCTACGTCTATTGTTTCGGGATTTTGACTGACAATTGAGTCTTTATGCTAATATGGTATGGCAACCTATACTTACGTACGAAGTTCTACGTTGTAACTAGCTGATTGTCTTATTGAAAACTCAAGCTAAGAAAATAGTAGAAACAGTTGTTTTCAACATAAGATCCAACCTAGTTAACATAACAGCTTTACACCTGATGACTGTTGTGCCACTAGAGAGACGCTGTTTTAAATTGTGGAGTTACGTAATCACTTAAGGGATATCGTCGTGAAACGTGATTATACTTTAATGCCTGTTCATATTGTCCAATACCCTTGCTCATTTTTGTTATAGACATGTATTCACTTGTCTGTTTACGTTTTAATCAATACTGTAATGATGACATAATTAACGATAAGTGTATTAAGCTAAAAATTGTAACTGTTCTAAATGTTTCCCGCTTATAAGCAGTATAGAATTGGTTTATTCTCATTTTAAGAATAGGGGGTGTACTGATCGAACATAAAGATCGCTTCAATTTAGCGCATTGCATAAATCTCGATAGCCTGGTTTCTTACAAAATCTCGGGAAAAATGAAAGTTTTTTACGGATCGAAGACTTGAATTGATTGCATTGGCATGATATCCCGTCGTATACTGTTCAGTTTGTTTTACTCTGCTTTGTTCGATACTTAGTTACTTATCATTCACATTCTCTGCATGAAAATTCTCTTAATAATTCTATTATTGTAATAAAGATACTTTAAAACTGTGCCTAATATTTAAGTCGTTTCATTTACATCCTGCCGCCTGTCAGATATCTTAAGTAACAGGCCATAACTCTTTTTACTTCGAGTATAAAAATAAGTCAGTTATTATCTCAGAGTTCAAAAAATTCATTTTGGGTACATAAATATGAATATTTGTATAGTTATGAATGTTATCGTTGTAATATCCTGAAAATTTATTTCAGCTTTCACTACTAAAAATAAAAGCAATGGTTATTGTTTTCTTTCATCAGTCTTATTTGTTACTTTTCAAAAACACATTATTTTTCTCTTTTGGCTCTTGTCTCTGCCAGTCAAACATGTGTGTTGCTTCAAGATTGGGCCTTCATCCGGCACCTGAACTAGTGATAGGGAGTGAAGTAGTCGATCGTGTAGACCGCTTCACTTGGGAGTCTCATTCAGCACTGATGGCCTGTGACTGACGAAATCTCAGCTCGGATACAGAAGTCTCGATTGGCTTTTGCCAACCTGCGTCACTTGTGGCGCAGGCGAGATATATATCCGTTTTTCTGACTAAAGGACGAGTGTACTGGCAGCAGTTCGCTCCATCCTACGTACGGATGCGGAGACTTGGCGTTAAGAGTAGAGGGACTTCCGTAGGTTACTAGTCTTCGATCATTGATGTCTCCGAAGCATTGCTCGTGCATCATGGAACAACCATATAACAATGCTGTCGTTAGGGAAAACGAGTTCTAGGTAGGAACGGCAAATCAATAGATTAAGTAGTGATACTTCATCAGTAGAGGTGGTTGTGACGTGTGTTACGTATGGCTAAACACCGACTGTCTCGACGAGCTATGTTTTGCAGTGTAGGAGTAGATTGGAAGAATCTAGGGGCGGCCAAAACCAAAACATGGCATAAATGCATGAAGTCACTGATAAGGGAGACTGAGTCATGTTGGTAGATGTAGGCTACCTGGTTGGGTTCCGCTAGGACGAAAGTCACCGATGGTTAGAGACCCCTTGAATAACATGGCTCAGAATCGTTTCAAATGGCGCAGGTGCATCCACTCTTTGTGTTCTCTGCTAATTCTAACCTTCTGAATTCCTCAGTATCTATCTTTCTCCTTCTAAATTTTATCTTACTGAATTATACTTCTCGAATCATATCTTCGCTCCCTAATCTTCTCCATTACTGCTAATACTTCTATTATTGCTATCACTGTTGGATTTGAACTGACAGTTGCGTCTCTGTGCTGATGGGGTATGGCAACCTGAACTGATGTACGTACGTACGTACGAAGTTCTGCGTTGTATCTGTCTCTGTCTGCCTGAAATGGAAATATTGCAAAATTCCTGTCCAATTTTCGTAGATCATGTGTGGGTCGTTCATAAATTTCATTTCAGTAACTTAATTGTTGCTTCTTTTCACATTAGTTTTTATTTATTCTTTTTCCCATTCATGTCTTTCTAGGTTATTGTTTGTGTCATATTGGTGGATCCCAGTACAAAACAATTAACAGGCTCTCTGCTTCCTCATCTAGTCAATCCGATTCCTTCCGTCCTCAATATTTCAGACATGCTGTCCAAGTGTTCTGTTGGTACACGTTTCTCGAGTTCATTAGTAGAGCGTGTAAATAAACGTGCTATTCTTGTCAAATTACCTAAAACAAATGGATTCAAAGCAGTTATCAGAGTATGTAAACCATTACTGGCTGGTTTTGTTTTTCTCCCTAAACCTGACACGTTTTCTAATATCGTAATAAATCTCCGAATGTGTCAATCGTCATATTGAAAAATACGGTAACAAGTTACTTTCACAATCAAATCCTTTGGATTTTTAGTGTGAAAAACCGTAATGAAATTTATTTAAATATTTTAAAATGATCACATTTCTATTATGCTTTAAAGAAGCCACCTATACTTGTCTGCAAAATAAACGATTAAATGTCTGGTTATTTGTGCAACTTATTCTCAAGAAAGTTAAGTTGCATTCGTTGAATTTGTGCTAAGTTTATGTCCTCAGGTTAGTAAGAATGAATGTAACAGGACCGGTCTATTCATGTTATGTTGTGTATGCAAAATAATCAGTCAGTCAGTCAGTCAGTTACAATGATGCAAAATAATCGTATAAACTTGTAATAGATTTAAAAAATTTCTATATGGCTTATGTTGTTTCGTGAAATTCGATTCTCTATGTATCTTAAGTATATTGCAAATCAAGTAATTGATGAGATAATTCAAATTTCCCTCATATATTTACCTAATGACTGCATTTCGATCAGAGTTACAAATCCTCTATAACAAATAGATTATTGATTTTAAGTCTTCTTATCTGTTATTTAACTAAAATCTTATCCTACTTAGTAAGATTTTAGTTAAATAACAGATAAGAAGACTTAAAATCAATAATCTATTTGTTATAGAGGATTTGTAACTCTGATCGAAATGCAGTCATTAGGTAAATATATGAGGGAAATTTGAATTATCTCATCAATTACTTGATTTGCAATATACTTAAGATACATAGAGAATCGAATTTCACGAAACAACATAAGCCATATAGAAATTTTTTAAATCTATTACAAGTTTATACGATTATTTTGCATCATTGTAACTGACTGACTGACTGACTGATTATTTTGCATACACAACATAACATGAATAGACCGGTCCTGTTACATTCATTCTTACTAACCTGAGGACATAAACTTAGCACAAATTCAACGAATGCAACTTAACTTTCTTGAGAATAAGTTGCACAAATAACCAGACATTTAATCGTTTATTTTGCAGACAAGTATAGGTGGCTTCTTTAAAGCATAATAGAAATGTGATCATTTTAAAATATTTAAATAAATTTCATTACGGTTTTTCACACTAAAAATCCAAAGGATTTGATTGTGAAAGTAACTTGTTACCGTATTTTTCAATATGACGATTGACACATTCGGAGATTTATTACGATATTAGAAAACGTGTCAGGTTTAGGGAGAAAAACAAAACCAGCCAGTAATGGTTTACATACTCTGATAACTGCTTTGAATCCATTTGTTTTAGGTAATTTGACAAGAATAGCACGTTTATTTACACGCTCTACTAATGAACTCGAGAAACGTGTACCAACAGAACACTTGGACAGCATGTCTGAAATATTGAGGACGGAAGGAATCGGATTGACTAGATGAGGAAGCAGAGAGCCTGTTAATTGTTTTGTACTGGGATCCACCAATATGACACAAACAATAACCTAGAAAGACATGAATGGGAAAAAGAATAAATAAAAACTAATGTGAAAAGAAGCAACAATTAAGTTACTGAAATGAAATATATGAACGATCCACAAATGATCTACGAAAATTGGACAGGAATTTTGAAATATTTCCATTTCAGGCAGACAGAGACAGATACAACGCAGAACTTCGTACGTAAGTACATCAGTTCAGGTTGCCATGCCCCATCAGCACAGAGACGCAACTGTCAGTTCAAATCCAACAGTGATAGCAATAATAGAAGTATTAGCAGTAATGGAGAAGATTAGGGAGCGAAGATATGATTCCAGAGGTATAATTCAGTAGGATAAATTTAGAAGGAGAAAGGTAGAGATTATGAATAATTCAGAAGCTTAGAATTTCATAGAACACAAAGAGTGGATGCACCTGCGCCATTGCAAACGATTCTGAGCCATGTCATTCAAGGTCTCTAACCATCGGTGACTTTCGTCTCGCGGAACCCAACCAGGTAGCCTACATCTACCAACATGACTCAGTCCACTTGTTAGTGACTTCATGCATTTATGCTATGTTTTGGTTTGGCCGCCCCTAGATTTCTTCCGATCTACTCCTACACTGCAAAACATAGCTCGTCGAGACAGTCGGTGGTTAGCCATACGTAACACATGTCCCAACCACCTCAACTGATGAAGTATCACTACTTAATCTATTGATTTGCCGTTCCTACCTAGAACTCGTTTCCTAACGACAGCATTGCTTATATGGTTGTTCCATGATGCACGAGCAATGCTTCGGAGACATCAATGATCGAAGACTAGTAACCTACGGAAGTCCTCTACTCTTAACGGCCAAGTCTCGCATCCGTACAGTAGGATGGAGCGAACTGCTGCACAGTACACTCGTCCTTTAGTCAGCAAACGGATATCTCGCCTACGCCATAAGTGACGCAGGTTGGCAAAAGCCAATCGAGACTTCTGTATCCGAGCTGAGATTTCGTCAGTCAACAGGCCATCAGTGCTGATGAAACTCCCAAGATAGGTGAAGCGGTCTACACGATCGACTACTTCACTCCCTATCACTAGTTCAGGTGCCGATGAAGCCCAATCTTGAAGCAACAACAAATGTTTGACTGTAGAGACAAGAGGCGAAATAGAAAAATTATGTATTTTTGAAAAGTAACAAATAAGACTGATGAAAGAAAACAATAATCATTGCTTTTATTTTTAATGGTGAAAGCTGAAATAAATTTTCAGGATATTACAACGATAACATTCATAACTATACAAATATTCCTATTTATGTAACCAAAATGAATTTTTTGAACTCTGAGATAATAACTGACTTATTTTTATACTCGAAGTAAAAAGAGTTATGGCCTGTTACTTAAGATATCTGACAGGCGGCAGGATGTAAATGAAACGACTTCAATATTAGGCACAGTTTTAAAGTATCTTTATTACAATAATAGAATTATTAAGAGAATTTTCATGCAGAGAATGTGAATGATAAGTAACTAAGTATCGAACAAAGCAGAATAAAACAAACTGAACAGTATACGACGGGATATCATGCCAATGCAATCAATGTAAGTCTTCAACCGGTAAAAAACTTACATTTTTCCCGAGATTTTGTAAGAAACCAGGCTATCGAGATTTATGCAATGCGCTAAAGTGAAGCGATCTTTATGTTCGATCAGTACACCCCCTATTCTTAAAATGAGAATAAACCAATTCTATACTGCTTATAAGCGGGAAACATTTAGAACAGTTACAGGTTTTAGCTTAATACACTCATTGTTAATTATGTCATCATTACAGTATTGATTAAAACGTAAACAGACAAGTGAATACATGCCTATAACAAAAATGAGCAAGGGTATTGGACAATATGAACAGGTATTAAAGTGTAATCACGTTTCACGACGATATCCCTTAAGTGATTACGTAACTCCATTTAAAACAGCATCTCTCTAGTGGCACAACAGTCATCAGGTGTAAAGCCGTTATGTTAACTAGGTTGGATCTCATGTTGAAAACAACTGTTTCTACTATTCTCTTAGCTTGAGCTTTCAATAAGACCATCAGCTAGTTACAACGTAGAACTTCGTACACATGTATGTAAGTACAGGTTGTCATACCACATTAGCACAAAGACTCAATTGTCAGTCAAAATCCCGAAACAATAGACGTAGCATAAGTACTAGAGGTTATGGAGGAGATTACGGTTCCAAGAAATTGTTCATGAAGTAGAATCCAGTGAAATAAATTTAAAAACAGAATAAAGGTGATGAAGAATCCAGAGGATTAGGATTTGAGAGAAGCCAAAGAATGGATGCACATGCGCTGTTGCAAACGATTTTGAGCCAAGTCGTTTAAGGTCTCTAACCATCGGTTACTATCGTCTTGCTGAACCCAACGAGGCTTACAATAAACGCTGAATTAATAATACCCTAAGATTTCAGCTTTGATGGTTATGAATAGAATTCTGTTTTCGTAGGTTCTGAACCTAAGGATAAGTCTACTTACTCTGAATACCATTGGAGTTCGAAGGAAATTTCAGTTACCGTAGCGTATAGAAAGTCACTAATTTAGACTACAAACACTAATTCGCAATATCAAAACAAAATTTATATAGGGAGCGAGCCCTAGATGGAGAGCACAATCAGTAAAGGAAATCTGTCGAAAATTTACCAATGCAGAATAACAGGTGACACGGATCCAAATGCTTTTGTTGGAAACGCATTAGAACCAGAAAGATCTCAATTTTTGTCTAGCTTCTCTTTCACATCGAAAGATTTAAAAAGAGATCTTCCTTACCCGAAAGACTAAGGACTTTTAGAAATAAAAGACACCTCTATGGATCATGGGCGTCATCCGAAGTCACTAATACACGTCGGCAACTTAAAGATTAACTTGTGATCACGGTTGTTAGATTTAATGAAAATGGCCAGTTAACATCTACTTCTATTTCGAAATGGACCCATTAGCGATTTTAAGTAAGAAATACAATAGTAAAAACCGTAAAAATGAGTGAATGAAATTACATTGGCTCCTATTTGATAGTCTTCTTTGTTTCCGATGTAGTGTGTGCGCGAGATTGAAATAAAGTGTTCTGAGAACTCTGCGACTAGAGTCGATGTGACCTTCTTTACAATTGAGGCGTGAAGACAAGTACCAGGGAGTATACAGTCAAAGTTTATACAAGAATCAGGATTCAACTAAACAAAATGAAACTTAATAAATTAATACCAACCACAGATAAAGTTGAATCCAAACGAGTAGTTACTTTCAAAACTCGTTCACAAGTGCTATTTACTTGTGGATCCGGCACGAGTAGAGTAAAAGGAATCAAGCTACCAATATCAAGGTTCGCTAAAAATTTAAAAAGAATCAAAAAATTCACGAACCATCAACTTGGTCTCTGGGTAAGAAACAATTCATCCTGGATACACCAGCATCTAGTATGTATCCGTGATCTTCTACACTAACGACTGAACCAACAAACACCATATGAGGTTTCACATTCTTGGATATCACAGCTTTATTCACCATCTTCGGATTTAACGAGACGAGATATTTCTTATTGGAACCACTCGTATGACTGCTGTCAGCCTCCTTAATGAAGCACCTGACAGTTTGGCCAACTCTGAACATGTCTGAAAGTTCGACAAGATTATCCTACATATGAGAGCCGTCACTAATTTTTGATTTACCTGTATTATACCAGTTTCTGCAGATTTCCTTAGAAGTTCAGTATACTTATCACTCACATCATATATATTAACTCGGCCCAGAAACCCATGTGGTAACTGTACCTCCAGGTACAATTTCTGGATATATTTCACAACTCCTAATGCCAAGGATTCATTTTGCATGTTCGGAAAGGTTGTTCAAACAGGTGGCTTACAGAGACCTTCAATATTTAATTATTCAAAGTCAAAGATATTTAATCAGATAGCCAAAAAACGCTGTAAGAATCTTATGCGTGAATCGCCGCTTATGTAGAAGTTACCTTCATTTATTTTTACTCTAAGTTTATCTTTCATAAATGCTTAGACTTTTGGCCGTCAAAAGCTTTACATCGTTTTAGTTGTCCTATAATCTAAGAGATAATAGAAGTAATGGTGTTCATGATGAGATGATAATAGTATATTTCAGCCTTCATCAGCCAATGTTCTGTAGGTACCAAGATTCTTCAGGCGGTTTTCACAATAACCGTACAGTTGGTAATCAATAGTGTGACTTCATTTAATTTGAACATTGATAACCAACGCGCTTCAATATTGTGCTTATTGCTGTCGCTGTTTTGTTCTGTAAGTGAGTAACTGCTATTCTGTTCGCTTTATTATTTTTTAAGCCGTCAAGTATATTATTCTTTGCACCCCCGATAATTTCGTGTTACCGTAAGCGTCTATCATGATCGATGACGACGGAGGATTTGGGAAGTCGTGCAGATGCTATGATTATTCAGAGTTCAACGGGACTATTTTCTCTATCGAACTATCAAACTCAATCAGTCCGCAAGTTAAGAACGAAATGGTTCAAAATTGTATTAGAAAGATTGTCGGATACCGAGTGATCTTATTAGATTTTTTGCCGTGAGAAATGCATTGTACGGAGTACTCACAGTCAATTTAATGCAGGCGCGTGACCGAAAACAGTCGGTTGAAGCGTGTCCATCAGAACTGTTTATTTTGGGAATAAATTTACCGGCACAAGCCATATTGTTGTGAATGCCAGATTGTGTAAAGATATATACAAACAAGAATATTATTAATTCGGTTTTCACCCAAATTGTAAAAAAGTCTAGAATCTGTCTCAAGCCCCTACAACAGTCTGACAATATCTACCACAGTGTGCCGAAAAAATTCCTAGAGCTGGCAGATAGTGAATCGGTAAAAGAAGGCTAGTAAGTAATGGAAGGAAAAGGTGTCATTATTGTTTAGTGGCATGAGTCAAGATTGACTGTGATCACCACTCCATACTGATTACGAGCGCGTCATAGCGAAAATAAGTAAATCCATGTTAGAGAATATATTTGCTGGCGATTTCGCGGTATCGAAAGAATACCGAAATCGTGCCAGAACTGAAAGGCAAAATTGAGTAGACAGTGGAGCCAGAATGGCAACACAAGCGGAGAGTTTGCGCGTACAAAGTGTAATAGACAAAAAGTACAGTAAAACATTAGCTGGTAAAACTGGTGATAATAAAGAATGTTTCTATTAAACCGATCCCGTTCTCTTCATAAAATTGGATTCGCTACAGTTATATAAGTGAGCATGCTGATATTCTGAGCCGACTATCTTAATAAGAGCGTTCACGTTGCTTTTGAATTTACTGCGAAGAGCAATTTTGGTCGAAATAGTAATTTATTGTTTAACTTTCGAATGCTATTTTGTGAATAATCAAGATGCCGCAGAAAAACGATGTTCGGAAGAAATGCGAATAAGAGCTTTTTTAGGAAGCTACACAAACATACGAAATACGAACCTATGAATTGATTCACATTGTTTGGTAGGATATCTTTAAATCCATACAAAACCTATTCATTATTCATGTGATTTCTTATTTACGAAAAAGTTAAAACACCACTGTCTCTATTGATGGGAAAAACTATAACCGGAAAGTTATGACTCTTTTTTGTGACACAGAATGTTGAAATTATGATAAACTCAAACTCTCCCTAAAGTAGGAGCTGATGTTTATTTCAATGAAATCCAGCAATCTCTACAACCCCATACCTATATTTAAATAATTATTTACATGCATAGTTGTTATCATCGTGTATATATTTTCACTCTTTTTTATTTGCTTCTGTTTATACAATGTAGATCTTACGTTTGAAAAAGACTGTCCGTTGGGATGATGTGAAACAAGAATGTGAATTTATGTTGAAGAGAATCGAGGTTTTTGACTTGATTTATAAAATTCAATCATGGTCGTTCTCTTCAGATATCTTTCTGAAACGAAAGAAACATTGTTAACTAACTAACCTAAGTATGTAATCAATTTTCAGTAAATTTTCAATGAGACACACTTGTTCTACATCGTTTTATTATCATTTGTCATTTAACGTTGTCACGTTGAGATATATTGGGAGTAAATCAAATAAAGTGTTGACAGGCACCTACTAGTCAACTTAATCGTGTGAGATGTTTCGAGGATGGCGCTTCGAACTTGACGTGGCCTGGTTGACTTCCCTCCATTTGCAGGAAACAGTCCATTTTCGGACACCAGATTGGGATATAAAAATTGTCTCCATTCACTGGTTGACAATCTGAGTACAAAGTCGGGCAAACGGAACCATTCCCAATCAAAAACACTACGCGGTAGTTCTAGCTTTCTCCATTAACTGCTCTCTTCCTAGTTGCTTCGGTAGCATACAAACATTCATTCACTTTCAAACACAGGACTTATGGACAAGTTGCTGGATCCGTGCAAAGTTGTTTACTAGAACGGTTATAAGTAAAGTTGCGATTTTGGAGTACTTTCACGTTCTATCTATTCGTAGTGATATGTATATACCACTAAATTCTTCTTTCCACACCCTTATTTCGTGTATTTTCTTCTATTAATTATCTCATTGTTCAGCACTGAATCTCTCTGGTATCATGTTAACTAATAAGGTTGCTAGCACATCCTACACTAGAACAACCAGGAAAACTTGCAGAGGTATTGACCTCGGGTTGAAATTCCTAGTCTCGAGCGACAGTGTTGCAAAAAAATCAAACCCCCACTCGAAAGCATTCCTCAGAATAAGATTCATAGTTCGGATCACTCAACTCAAACACCCACTAGGTCTCAAACAGACTCCTCTGAATCTTCTTAAAAAGACTAGTTGGCTAAATAAAAATAAGAGAAAAGGGCATCGTACGGCCCAGTCAACAAAGTCTATGGTACAGAAACAGCGCCTGCCCAACGCCAGTCAAAATCCGTGACTCTGCTTTTGAATGCAATTTTGTAGCAAATGGATCCCTTGTCACTGCGATACTACAGCACCTAGAGAGTACTATGGGTTCATGTTGAGTTACCCCTGCCCGTGGTTCTGATATATCTGTCCACAGCGCAGAGTATCTGAGGCACTGACGAAGCCACAAGCCGTACGCGAAATCAGCACCAAAGTCTCAACAGACCAACTGAAATTGCATGACACTAAACCAGTGAAACAAGCTACCAAGACAGTCAAAACCCTAACCACACACCAACAAAACTGCTGGTTGTTATTAATCCCCCAGTATTGTTAACAATACGTAGCAGTGGGTGAATGTAAAAAAGGGGAACGGCAATACTTCAACTCAAAAACGGCCCACTCAGGGACAGGGACAGTAGACTAGATTCACTCATTTTTTGAAATGTCCCAGTGTCTGAAGGTAGCTTACTAGAAGGTAGGGCTGCCTTTGACAAAGAACAGTGGGATGAGAACTGCGCAGTCCTCGTAATGTTCAATAGAATGTACTATACAACGAACTCACTAAACTGACAGTTGACGTCGATCAACAACCCATGGCACAAGACACGAAGATAATAGCCTCGCCGATTGAACCCTCAGTTCCCACAGAACTGGCCAACTTGGTTTGAACACCTTATTTGAAGATCCAACAACGGCCTTTGCTAAGGAGGTGCACTAAGTGCCCCTATAGCAACATAAGAGGACTAAGGGTAAGCTGTCAGAAATCAGAAATATGTGCTCTCAGATGGATCTGAAGATCATAATCCTAACTGAAACATGGCTATCCCCTGACATTGCAGACGATGAAGTCAGCTTGCAAGGCGTGACCCTCTTCCGGAACGATAGGTTACACCAAACAGGAGGCGAAGTGGCTTTATGTATAAACAGCCACTTAAAAGCCGAGCGGCTATACGACACCCAACTAAATGAGGTCAAAGAATCATGTTGGTGTTGTTTCCACATAAATGGAACGAAATACTTGATTGGAGGGATTCATCCTCGTCCCTCAGGTACTAAGAACCGGCAAGATAAACTTACTGAAGCAATACTGCAACTGGCACTTCTGATGTTTGATCGAATACTCTTGGCTGGTGGTTTCAATATCCCATTTCTTAGTCTCAGCAATCAGGGTTGGTTAGTTCCGGAGACAACTTGGCGCAGCCATTAGAAGCTCTGGGCTCACTGAGCATGTATGCAGTACCATTAGTTGAACTAAGGAGGGAAAGTCCTCAAACCTGGATTATTTGTTATTAAACGATCAGCTCCTAGTTTAGGATGTTCACGTTAATACACCGATAGGAAATAGTGACCATAGCACAGTCTTGTTTGACATCATAATCAACGAAACACTTAGGCAGGACGAAAACGAGCCCTATATATGCTACACTAGGGCAAATCAAATGCATATGAAAGAGGTCCTTTTACAATCCCCACGGCCACGGAGGTGGTGGAGGCTGACAGTAGATGATCACTGGCAAACAGTGAGAGACATCATTCACAATGCTGCCCTTATAATGTACCTCGGTCTCACCACGCACCCAGAAATACAAGAACATGGGTTAGGTGCGGCGCTGAGTGCCTGCTACACGCGAAGAGAGCCGGCAACAATTGGAAGCTCTCTTTGAAGGATTCGGATGGTAGTTCTTACTTGGCATTGAAAAACAGATTCAGTACCAAAGTCTGAAGTGATAAGAGATGCTTTCAGACGAAGCTAGCTGCAAAAATACAGGCAAACCTGAAGCATCTGTTTAGGTTCGTGACGAAAAGAAAACCTACGAATCAGGGGTTGTGTTCTCTCAAACGACTGAATGCGGAAGACCTCACTAACCTACAGATGGCTGAGATCTCCAACACAAACTTTACCGATCAGTTAAACCAGGCATCCCAAGTGTTCAGAGTACTACACAAACTCAGTGCCAGCTGACCGCCTAGGGAAT